AAAAAAAAAAAAAAAAAAAAAAAAAAAAAAAAAAAAAAAAAAAAAAAAAAAAAAAACAAAAAAAACAAAAAAAAAAAAAAAAAAAAAAAAAAAAAAAAAAAAAAAAAAAAAAAAAAAAATTATTAGTATGAATTCAATTTAATGAATTTTTGCAGTCAAGAAACTAAAATTTAGCAATTAGCACTTATACTAAAAAAAAAACAGAGAACTTATATTTTTTTTTGTATACGTATGATTTGTAATTTGTAAATTACTATAGTAATTCGGCACAATCACAAGTAATTAATTGCATGTTGCTATATTAGTACCGTAATTGATATATACAAAATTTCTATTTTAGCATTATAATTAATTCAAACACCACCCAGTTCTACTAATTTAGATAAGCAGAGGCTGTAAATAAACATATATCCATATAGATAAATTTAGAAGAAAAACTTGTAAACATATATGTGCGTTATTTATATTAGGTAGCTATACAGTGTGCAGGACCAGTATAATCTTTATACTGGTTTAAGTGTTATAAATATCATTAGGTACATACATAATGTAAAACAAATTTGGGTCTCGCATTCCTGTGGAATACTTGTATTTTGTACAATATAATTATATATCGCAAATCAATTTTTTGCGATCTACTCGGTCCCGGACTTATAAACAGACTTTCATCTGATTGGCTAATGTAAATTAATTGTCTGGGTAACTTATTTATATGCTTAAAAGTTAAAGCAGGAGTAATTGGCTTATTTTTAATTCCTTTTTATGCTAATTTAGTTTGTAAAGAGACCATATCCCAAAAATTGCCTTCTTACAGCATTTGCTGCATTTCTATAACAGAGAAACCAAACAAAGAAGTAATATACATAATTATGGGTTAAAGGTTTTTTTTATTAATAGAAATCAATACATCAGAATATTACAATAATACTAAATACTATTAAAAGCTAACCATCATTCACTCTGAAACTATACCCTTAATTCGCATAGGGGTTTTAATCCCTCTTTTTGGGGTTTCAATTCCTCCTTAGGATTTCCCGACTATGCCACAAACTATACCTAAATAAGAAATACATAAAATAACAATAATATGATACAGCATGAAACTGATTATTATATTGTTATATGAGGTCTTTGCTCTGAAAATCATCTTCCGACATTTCTGATCAGGCTAATTCGAACAAAACAAAGCCGTATATTAGTTTATTTATATGTAAATCTCTTTTTGTCTTTATGGTTCAATAGCCTATAGAAAAAAGCTTCGAATCAATAAAGGCAGAAATGTCGGAGGGTGACTTTCAAGGCAAAGACCCCATAAGAATATGATAATGACAGTGATTTACAAGACCATATTCTTTTTTTTTTTTTTATCTTTAACTGCAATATAAAAAGTTCAACTATTTCAGTAATTTGGCAGGCTCAAAAAACACAATAATCACAGAAAAAAATACTTATCTTCATTTCAAAAAAATAAACCCAGCTTACGATAAACGACGTTGTAATTATAAAAATCTTAAGAAAAATAAAATGCTAGAAAATTGAAAGAAAAAATAAACCAAATAATGAATAAAATGAATAAATAGTACTTGCCTTAAAGTCTTAGCACATGCCCAATTCCAGCAATAAAATAAATAAAAGTGTTACTAATTTCATCAAGACAGGCCGCTGATTGAGACCAGTTTGCTAAATTTACAACTGAAGAAAGGTCTATCCATGGCATTAATGATATGTCATCTATGCTAAATGATTTTGAAACATTGAGATAAAATAATTGATCGAAAGCAAAAACAGAAGTATTTTGAGGTCCCAATTTTGGTTATGAATAAGCATTTCGCTGCAGATACATGACGTGACGAGACCAAAGATTCAAGGAGACTAATGGGAATCCTTAAAGGATCAAAATCTAACAATGATAATAAACCTTTGACAGGCAAAACCAGAATATTGGTACTCTGTAAAAATAGAGAGAGAAAAGAAGTTATAGTTGATATTGTACAAGTAAAGAAGAAAGCAAAGGGTGAAATCGAAGCAGCGCGATCTTCAAAAAATATAAAAGATTCAGAGGATGGAAGCTTCATACGAAGGAGTATCTCACAGAAAGTAGATAATCTTATTAGGGCTGCTAAAGCAGCAAGAATGAGAAATAGCAGCTAAACAGAAACCCAAAGAAACAACAACTGGAGGTCCCAATACATCTACTAATGTAATACTAAAATGATGCTAATGAAACTTTAATGTGGCTCTACCAACTCCAGTGGCAATACAAACGACAATTCCTATGAAGATTCTTATGAACAACAAGTCTAACGAGACACTACAACGAATCCAATGACAGTCTCACCACAATTCCAAAAATAGCTGCTCCAAATCTCAACAACGACTTCAACGACAATTTCCAAAGATAATAACTAAAGCAAAAAAAATCAAAGTTAAAAGTAAATACAATAAATAAAAAAAAAGATCAGCAT